CTGCCTTTAGGAGGCAGATTTCTATTAGAAGATGATTCTTCCTGGATCTATCTATCTATCTATCCATCCATCCATGCATCCATCCATCCATCTATCTATCTATCTATCTATCTATCTATCTATCTATCTATCTATCTATCTATCTATCTATCTATCCATCCATCCATGCATCTATCTATCTATCTATCTATCTATCTATCTATCTATCTATCTATCTATCTATCTATCTATCTATCTATCTATCCATCCATCCATCCATCCATCCATGCATCTATCTATCTATCTATCTATCTATCTATCTATCTATCTATCTATCTATCTAATCTGTCTGTCTGTCTGTCTGTCTGTCTGTCTACCTACCTACCTAGCTATATTTTTCTACTGTTCCTACAGGGTCCTAACATTCTAAGCAACACAAATAAGCATTCTATAAAGGCAGAAAATACCCCTTTCTGCCTGAAACGTTTGCTCTTTATATTTTGCACATATTAAACTTGGAGCCAATATTTTATGATAGGGCCGATACTGATCTCATTCAAAGAGTAATGCTACTTTCTCATCTCTTCTGTTGCCAAATGCCCATGTCCTGGGATAGAGACAAGTCTTCCAATCCCTAAGAAAGGATTTGCTTACATTCCATAGTAAAAATAATTGCTCTGTCTTTTTTTCAGAGGGGAAGAGGGGCAGATATTTCCATACCTGTATAAACTCTGAGATTAATAATTTCAGAGTTCCACTCCTTGTGATATCACTGCATTGTATACACAGGTGTAACCATTTGGTTCTTAGTATTACCCTGTGCAGTGTTGGCTGCTGTTACTGTTGGGAAGTATAAAGATCCAACCTGATTCAGAAGATATATATCAAATGGGTAACATCTCAGATGCTTCTCAATTTCTGACTGAACAATTTTAGTTTCATAACCAGAACATTTCTCAAATTAGGAGAAATTATTAAAAAGTCCTTCCTTCCTTCCCTCCTTCCTTCCTTCCTTCTTTCTTTCCTTCCTTGACAGAGTCTCGCTATGTCACAAGGGTGGAGTGCAGTGGTACGATCTCGGCTCGCTGCAACCTCCGCCTCTCGGGTTCAAGCAATTCTCCTGCCTCAGTCTCCAGAGCACCAGGGATACAGGCACATGCCAGCCACCATGCCTGGCTAATTTCTTTTGTATTTTAGTAGAGACAAGGTTTCACCGTGTTGCCCAGGCTGGTCTCGAACTCCTGAGCCCAGGCAGAGAAAACATTTGATACAATTCAACCAGTTATAATAAAAATTATTGTCAAACCATAAATAGAGGTCAAATTCTGGAATGGATGAAATGTATACACCAAATTCTACAATAATCTAATTCTAAATGTTGGAACATTAGAATAATTCTTAAATGGGAACAAAATCAATGCTTCTATGCAACAATATACTGGTGGTCTTATTCAAAAGAGGTAAAGGTGTGAGAATACAAAAGAAAACAGCAAACTTGTCATTATTATGAATAATGTAAATCTCTCCTTAGATGATTTCATTTAACCTACAAATAAAATGTTAGAATAAATAAGAAAGTTTATTAATTTATTTCAATGTAAAATTAATATGAAAAATTTAATTACTTTTGTATGCCAGAAGCAATTAGAAAACAAGTATTTTAAATAGGACTATTTATAATATGGACTAAGACCATAGAATATCCAGCAATACAAGTAAATAATATGTGTAAGACTACTGGCGAGAAAATAATTTAAAAATTATTTATAGATATTTAAAGATGATCATAATTGAGATTAATATGTTCAAAAGAAGAAAATACATTTTTTTAATTAATTTATAAAATTTATGAGATTTTAGATAAGGCTCAGCAGGATGAAGCTTCTTAATTAATTCAAAAATGTGTTTTGAAAAGTGAATGGAAAACAATAGCCAAAATATTTTAAGGAACAAAAGTTGGGTGAGATAATCTAGTTGTGGATATACAATAAATTTATAGTAATTAAAAAGTATAATATGAGTGTGAAACAAGCAATTGATCTTGTAAACAGAATATATGGTGTATTGAAAGAAGTCCAAATATATGACAACCAGATATATGACACAGGTGGCACTGAAAATTAGTGGAAAAACAATAACTGAGCAAAAACAACCATTATCCATGTGATATCCATGTCCATATCGATTTATATGTGATATCCAGATCCTTATATGTGACATCCAGATCCAGAGCCACATATACAGTACATCTGTATATGCACTGTGCAGAAAAATAAAATAAAAAAGCTACTCCGGTTATCCTAAAGCTTTTATTTGTTCACTTATCATACCAATTGGAACTCTTTTGAAAATACCCCTTTCTGCTTGAAACATTTGCTCTTTATATTTTGCACGTATTAAACTTGGAGCCAATATTTTATGATAGGGCCGATACTGATCTCATTCAAAGAGTAATGCTACTTTCTCATCTCTTCTGTTGCCAAATGCCCATGTCCTGGGATAGAGACAAGTCTCCCAATCCCTAAGAAAGGATTTGCTTACATTCCATAGTAAAAATAATTGCTCTGTCTTTTTTTCAGAGGGGAAGAGTGGCAGTTATTTCCATACCTATATAAACTCTGAGATTAATAATTTCAGAGTTCCACTCCTTGTGATATCACTGCATTGTATACACAGGTGTAACCATTTGGTTCTTAGTATTACCTTGTGCAGTGTTGGCTGCTGTTACTGTTGGGAAGTATAAAGATCCATTCTCTCTTATTAGAGAGAATTCCAGAACAAGAGGATTAAACTGAGTCTCATCTGGGCAAATGGGACTATAATTGTGAATTTAGTCTTAAGTGCAAAAAGTTGAAAAACTTCTGAATCTAAGAGAAAAACTTAATTGAGCGCTGTGTGTTCATTCTCTCATTTAATCCCCATGAAAATCCTATGATCTAGATATTACTATTATCCTTATTCTATTACTATCACCCTTTTCAAATGTTGGATAGAAGATTCCTAGTTAGGAAGAAGAAATTGCCGTCTTGATGATTAGTGGGATAAAAGTCCAAATTATTTACAATATGAAACTAAGCTTATTTTTTTATATTTTTATAAAAAAATATAAAAGTTCATAATATGCCTAAAAATTGATGTTAATTAATTTTAATTTTTCTTTATTCCCTTGGAGAGAATAACATGCTTAAAGACTTCACTTATTTTTTTGAATATGTCATATAATTATCAATGTATAATGTATCTCCTATTCATTCATATATTAATTGATACTATTACAATAAACTACGGAAAGTATCTGCCTAAAAACAAGTGATCCAGATGGAGGGAGACTTCCAAGAGACTTTCTGGAACCAATTAAGGACACTGGTAAATACCGTGCATATTTTATGCTAGCTTTTAGAAAAATGTAAATGGAGACCTGATTATCATTCCAACCGAGAACATTACATAATTGCTCCATTGACTGTATTAACTTTCAGGATGTTCATGTTCAATTTAAGACATGTATTATCCTGACATAAACTTCTTTGTGGCTTCTATCTTGGCATTGTAATGGACTTTCTCTTAGAAATGATTAAATTACTCATATTTTTAGTGAGCATTTAAGGTCACTAGAGTCCATTTGAGGAATATTCTCATTCAAATATACCAGTGACTCACTTGTAAAAAGCAACAATTCATTCATTTATGAATCAACCTGGATCCAATGCTCTGATATTTTAAAAGAGACCAATGTTAATTATTGAAGAGTAGATTTCATATTCATAAATATTTTATTAATATGCCTTTATGAAATGGTTGTTAAGTCCAATTCTGATCAAGATCGTGTGTGTATTTTTCTCTGTTTTAAAGTATTGAATCAATGACTTAAAGAGTTATTTATTTAAAAGATAATAGAGATGATAAATTTAACATTTTAGAAATTAACCTATTTTTAAATAGATATTTGAAGGGTGATATTGCTTTGTAATTAGAAAAGAAAACTGAAGACGTAGATATTTCAAAACAATATGAACTTAATAGGAAAAGAGCATTTTAAACTCCACATGAAAAGCCATCCTGTTTCTCAACCTAATATCTGTTTCAGTGAGATAGATACTACTTTCTTTTTCTTTTACTTTCTTATCCTACTAAAAATTTTTTAAAATTTGATGTAAGGGGCTGGGCATGGTGGCTCACACCTGTAATCCCAGCACTTTGGGACGCCGAGGTGGGTGGATCTACCTGAGAAGCCTGCAGGTAAAATACATAGGGGTTGTGACAGGTATCCCACCTGAGGCGAGCACTAACCTGAGGCTGGTGAGAACCCCACTGCTTCACAAAGACTATCCAAAAAAAAAAAAAAAAAAAAAAAATTGTGTAAGGAAAATACCTAGGATAAATAGAGATAGCAGAAAACCTGTGACAAGATGGATGCATCATGGTAGGCCAGCAAACTCGGATGTGTAGTGCCATCTGAGCAGGAGCAAAAATAATGACTTGATGGAATTCTCCGAAGACATAGAGGTTTTCAGGATTAGGTGAACTGTATGAGAGTCACTGTTCACATGCTTATTCCTTCATTCCTTCCTCTTTCTGTTTTCCTTCTTGTTGTGGTGTGTGATGAGGGTTTATGTTTTCATTCCACATCCAAGGACAAATAAGTAAGCAGAATCCATGGTGGCCTACATTCCTGGCTTCGCCAAAGGGTGTGCCGTAAACTCCACCTATTCCTTGATCCCTTAGAAAGGTTTTGTCCAGGTACTCCTTTTTTCCTTTCAGTCCCATTTCAAGACCAGGAAGTCTGGTTTCAGTTGATAATACAGGATCAGGTCATTGTCTCTTTGGGCTTATTTTTATTCCTCTTTATCCATGTCTTGCTTTAGAAACTGTAATCCAGCACATGCCAATATTCATTTTTCAGCCATCTCTCCCACTCTGTGTTTCTATTCCATTTGTTGAGCATGGAAATATTTGTATTGCTTCAAGACTCATCAATATTTGCTTAGTTGTTCTTTTCTATCTTTCTGTTTATCTGACAGTGTTATTTGTTTGGAGGGAGAGGTGCAACCAAATGTTAATTATTTGTGCCATAATGACAAGAAGTTCGTGAATCGAGTTTACATATTTATACATCTATGCTGGCTGAAGATTTACATGTGAGTATTCTTAATGTCTATATACTCTACACATATTGCCAATTGCCTTCATGGTAATTTCATTTGAATGTCACATGTGCATATTCAAGTTAAAAACATACAAATCAGAACTCTTCCCAATCTTCTCTATAGAGAAGCTAAGAACGATGATAAAATATTATAGGAGTTGTTAGCCAGAATGACCAGTTTAGAGAGGAACATAACCTAAATGGAGCTGAAAAACGCAACATAAGAACTTCACAATGTAATCACAAGTATCAATAGCTGAATAGACCAATCAGAGGAAAGAATTTCAGAGCTTGAAGACTATCTTGATGAAATAAGACAGGGAGACAAAATTTGAGAAAAATAGAATGAAAATGTATGAATAAAACCTCCAAGAACTGTGGGATTATGTAAAAAGACTGAACATATGACTGATTGGGGTACCTGAAAGAGATGGAGAAAATGGAACCAATTTGGAAAACATACTTCAGGATATCATCCAGGAGAACTTCCCCAACCTGGCAAGGCAGGGCAACATTCAAATTCAGGAAATCCAGAGAAACAGTAGAAATCATGGAAAAATCAACCCCAAGACACACAATCATCAGATTTTCCAAGGTCAAAACCAAGGGAAAAATGTTAAGGGCAGCTAGAGAGTAAAGCCAGGTCACCTACAGAAGGAAGCCCATCAGACTAACAGTGAACCTATCAGCAAAAACCCTACAATCCAGAAGAGATCAGGGCCAATATTCAACATTCCTAAAGAAAATAATTCCCAACCCAGAATTTCATATCTGGCAAAACTAAGATTTATGAACAAAGGAGAAATAAAATCCTTTTCACACAAGCAAATGCTGAGAATTTGCCACCACCAAGCCTACCTTGCAAGAGCTCCTAAAGGAAGCACTGAATATAGAAAGGAAAATCCTTTATCAGCCACTACAAAAGCACACTGATGCACACAGACAAATGGCACTATAAAGCAACTACATCAACAAGTCTTCCAAATAACCAGCCAGTATCATGATGACAGGATCAAATTCACACACAATATTAACCTTAAATATAAATGGGCTAAATGCCCAAATTAGAAGACACGTGGCAAGCTGGATAGAGTCAAGACCAATCAATGTGCTATATTCAAGAGAGACCCAACTCATGTGCAAAGACACACACAGGTTCCAAATATAGGGATGCAGGAAACTGTATCAAGCAAATGGAAAGCAGAAAAAAGGGGTTGCAATCCTAGTTTCTGGCAAAACAGATTTTAAACCAACAAAGATTAAACAAGAAAAAGAAGGGCATTACATAATGGTAAAAGATTCAATTCAACAAGAGCTAACTATCCTCAATATGTAAGCATCCAATACAAGAACACCCAGATTCATAAAACAAGTATCTTACAGAGCTACAAAGAGACTGAGAGTTCTAAACAATAATAGTCGGTGACTTTAACATCCCACTGTCAATATTAGACAGATCAATGAGACAGAATATTAGCAAGATATTCAGGACTTGAACTCAGCTCTGCATCAAGTGGGCCTGACAGGTATCTACAGAACTCTCCACCCAAAAACAACAAAATACACCTTCTTCTTGGCACCACATGGCACTTGTTCTAAAATTGATCACATAACTGGAAGTAAAAACACTCAGCAAATGCAAAAGAACTGAAATCATAACAAACAACCTCTCAGACCACAGCACAGTTAAATCAGAACTCAAGATTAAGAAACTCACTCAAAACCACACAATCACACAGTAATTGAACAACCTGCTCCTGAATGACTCCTGAGTATATAGTGAGATTAAGGCAAAAATCAAGAAGTTCTTTGAAACTAATGAGAACAAAGAATCTCTATGATGCAACTAGAGTAGTACTGTTTGACCCAGCAATCATATTACTGGGTATATACCCAAAGGAATATAAATCATTCTATTATGGAGACACATGCACGGTATGTTCATTGCAGCACTATGCATAATAGCAAAGACATGGAATCAACCCAAATGCCCACCAATGATAGACTGGATAAAGAAAATGGAGTACATATACACCATGGGATACTATGCACACATCAGAAGTGTCTGATTTCATTTACGGAACACTAACATTATATAGTGAGCCCAGGACTTCTTATTGTACCAGAATGAGATAATGTCCTTTGCAGGGACATGCAAGGACATGGAACTGCAAGTAATTATCCTCAGCAAACTAACACAGGAACAGAAAACCAAATGCCACATGTTCTCATTCATAAGAGGGAGCTGAACAATGAGAACACATGGACCCAGGGAAGGGAACAACACACACTGGGTCCTGTAAAGGGAAGGGGATTCTTGGGGGGAAAGAGAAAATCAGGAAAAATAGCTAATGCATGGGGGGCTTAATACTTAGGTGAGGGGTCAACAAGTGTAGCAAATCACCATGGCACACATTTACCCATGTAAGAAACTTGCATATCCCGCACATGTACCTGGAAGCTTAAAATAAAATAAAAATTAAAAAAAATAGTTTCAGAAAATTATTGTAAAAACACTTAGTAACAAATCAATACTATTTATTTGTGTTTATGTATTATCAATAACAATTTTTTAAAGTTTACATATTAAATCTCAATTAAATAGACGTGGGAAGTTTTCAGGTCATACTAATAATTATTTATTTATTTTATTTTTTAACAGGAAGTAAACACTATTTCAATATGACTTTGAGGGTGGGTTGGATTCTTTTTTTTTTTTTGGGATTTTTTTATTATACTTTATGTTCTAGGGTACATGTGCACAATGTGCAGGTTTGTTACCTATGTATACATGTGCCATGTTGGTGTACTGCACCCGTTAACTCGTCATTTACATTAGGTATATCTCCTAATGCTATCCCTCCCCTCTCCCCGCACCTCACCACAGGCCCCAGTGTGTGATGTTCCCCTTCCTGTGTCCAAGTGTTCTCACTGTTCAATCCCATCTATGAGTGAGAACATGTGGTGTTTGGTTTTCCGTTCTTGTGATAGTTTGCAGAGAATGATGGTTTCCAGCTGCATCCACGTCCCTACAAAGGATATTAACTCATCCTTTTTTATGGCTGCATAGTATTTAGTATTCCATGGTGTATATGTGCCACATTTTCTTAATCCAATCTGTTTATGACAAACCCACAGCCAATATCATACTGAATGGGCAAAAACTGGAAGCATTCCCTTTGAAAACTGGCACAAGACAGGGATGCCCTCTCTCACCACTCCTATTCAACATAGTGTTGGAAGTTCTGGCCGGGGCAATCAGGCAAGAGAAAGAAATAAAGGGTATTCAGTTAGGAAAAGAGGAAGTCAAATTGTCCCTGTTTGCAGATGACATGATTGTATATTTAGAAAACCCCATCGTCTCAGCCCAAAATCTCCTTAAGCTGATAAGCAACTTCAGCAGTCTCAGGATATAAAATCAATGTGCAAAAATCACAAGCATTCTTATACACCAGTAACAGACAAACAGAGAGCCAAATCATGAGTGAACTCCCATTCACAATTGCTTCAAAGAGAATAAAATACCTAGGAATACAACTTACAAGGGATGTGAAGGACCTCTTCAAGGATAACTACAAACCACTGCTCAAGGAAATAAAAGAGGACACAAACAAATGGAAGAACATTCCATGCTCATGGATAGGAAGAATCAATATCATGAAAATGGCCACACCACCCAAGGTAATTTATAGATTCAATGACATCTCCATTAAGCTACCATGCTAATATTTAAATAGATTTTAATCTGCTGAATACTGTTTCTTTTCCTGTAAAACAGCAAAATGCTTAGCAGCTGGAATTCTTAAGAGTACATTTAAGTGATATATAGAAGCACAGTGCCTAGCAAATATTTGTGCTTGAAAGTCTTGGCTATACTCCCAAATTTCTCCTAAAGTTTTTAGTTTATCATTTATCACTCAATCGATACCTCATATCTAAGAACTAGTTCAGGCCTAAGCCATAAATATTAACCTATGAATTCAGGGCTAGCGATTAATCAGATTTTTTAGCCTTTTATGTTACACATGGTTTCTATTTGAATAATAGATTGTATTTTACTCTTGAACTGAAGTAACATCAATCTTAAAAGGTAGTTGTGAATTGTTTATGAGATTTAATGTAACTAAAAAAATGAATTTCAGCTTTCCTTGTGTTTATAGGTATTTAAATACAAAATGATTAGAGATAGATAATGTAAATGTAATCATCACAGATGATTACATTACAATACAAAATGTGCCTTTCTTACATAAAAATTATAAGAAGTAGCCATGCTAGAAAATGCTGATAAAAAGTCAAAATTTAAATATTACTCATCAGCTCGTTTTCATACTCCAAATCTTTGACCAGATCTAGGTGTCTGGGTTTGTGGATAAATGTGCATGTCTGTATAATTTTAACTCTTGTCTGTCCACCTAGTGAGCAATGAACAGGCACTCAAACGGGCCAGAATTTGGCTTCCAAGTATTGCTCCTGTATGAAAATAAGCCAGGGCTCTTTGGGGAAGTGGCTGATAGCAGTTGTGGACATGAATGTTACATAGTAAGCCCAGGACTTCTTGTCGTACCAGGAAAAACAAAACAAAACAAAACATTTTACTATCAATATTTTTGTATAAAGGCACAAAAACCAGCTTAAAGAAATATTCACTCACCAAATCTGGGCATATCGACACATAAACAGTTGCTTTAAAAAACATACCAGCAAAATAAATAAGTGAATATAAAATTTCAACTTTAATTTTTTTCATTATTCTTGATTTGTAATTCTGAAAGGACCCCTATTTTATCTACAACTTATACTTTAGTTTTTCACAAAACTATTTTATAAATAGAAAAAACAGAATTTTAGACCAATATCCCTGATGAACATCAGTGCAAAAATCCTCAATAACATACTGGCAAACTGAATCCAGCAGCACATCAAAAAGCTTATCCACCATGATCAAATGGGTTTCATCCCTGAGATGGAAGGCTGGTTCAATATATGCAA